CGAATTTTCCCAACGGTGGCCCGGAAACCGGAAAGGAAAGGCCTTGAAAGGCCGCCCGGGGGGAAAAGAAGGGGAAAAAAAAAATTCAGCCCCATTTTCTTTTCTTTTGGAGGCGCCCCTTTCCCCTTTTTCGGGGAACCAAAGCGCACGTACGAATCCGCCGCCGAGCACGCAGTAGACAAACTGCACGCCGCCGAGCACGACGAGGAAGGCAAGGAAGACGTCAATGAGCTTGGTGCGCTGCGGCGTCTTCTTCTGGTAGTGGTCGAGGAGCTGGTTGACGGCCTGGGTCCAGTCGGCGTTGCCGCTGGCGCTGGCGGCCTTGGAGGAGGCAAGCTTGGGCTGGGAGGTCATGGTGCCGGGGATGGCGGCGACGGTCGGGCCTGCGGGGGCGCTGGCGGCGGCGGGGGGCACCTGAGCGACTTTCTTGGGCGCCATTGTGTCGAAGTGATCGGTCGAGGCGGATTTGCGTCCTGGGGAGAAAAGGTGGGAGTCGTGAATGCCGGCGAACTGGCGTCGAGGAGCTTTGGGGGGTGCTGTTGGCGACAGGTGGTGGGTGGAGGTTGCTGGCCGTACGTACTGTACCATCTAGCTCACAACCCCATAGCAGTAGCGGACACGACAGCATTCGAGCCACCTGTCCCGCTGGGCGCCACAGAGGTTCAGCCACATGAGGGACAGGGTGTTGGTGGAATCCGGGGTACTGTCAACGTGCACGCATTAGTCAGGTCAGCATTACATCATGTAGTCCAGCTCTATTGGTCAAGGGACACGCTCCAAGCAGTAGCAGTAGTGGCAGCAGCAGCAGCAGCAACATTCGCCAGAAGCAGCCGGGCTTCACCAAGTCCCGAGCACCAGCGGAACTTCAAAACTTAACCCCCCCCCCCCTCTCATTCCAAAGCTTGAATCCCACCCATAACACAACTTGGTTAATCCTTCACACTCTCCTTTTTCCTCCTCCGCTGACCACACCACCGAGTATACAAACCGCTGTTCACAATGGTTTGCTCTGCCCCGCCATCGAACACGTATGACGAGGGTACCCTACTGACACAGCCAGGCCGCTACACGAGAACTCTCAACCCCCTCCTTCGTCCTGGGCGCCCTCACGGCGGGCGGCGGCATCATGGGCTACGTCAAGACCCGTTCCGTGCCCTCGATTGTTGCCGGTGTTACCGTTGGTCTGCTGTGTCAGTGTCCCTCCTCCCTCCGCGCTCTCCGCCTGCCTTGTCTTCGTTCAAAAAGAGCTGCTACTGCGGCTTCTTGAAGCACACCAAACTGACCATGATCAGACGGACTCGGCGGGTACCGCATCCAGGGCCGCGAGCCCTACGGCGTCGAGCTCAGCCTTCTCGCCTCCGCTGTCCTCGGCGGCTCTGCCATCCCTCGCGCCATCCGTCTGCGCAAGCCGGTGCCCATCCTCCTCAGTGTGCTCTCCCTGTTCGGCCTCTTCACGTTTGGCGACGCCTTCCGCCGCGGCGTCTGAACCGTCTCGAACGAGTGACGGTCTGTGTGTCCAGGACGACAGAGATCTGGGGTTTTCGTGTTTCGTTTCGAGATAGCAACGAGTCGAGATTCATGTGATTAAAACCATACACACATGCCTACAAACCATATGAACGCCCCCCATTTCCCCCCCAATGCTTTTTTGGGGGGTTTGTCATGTTTCCCAAACCCCGTGGTGTACAGGATGCGCATGCCGGCCCGCGATACTGTTACAATAATCGTACCACCACCTCCCTCCCGTTCGATCCGTGTTGACGGCAATCGAGGTTCCCCCCACGTAGTCCCAGCCCCCTCTCATCATCTGGGCAAGGACAGATAGAGACTCTCCTCTCTGCCCTCTAGTCGAGGCCCAGCTCCTTGTTGATCTCGGCAATCTTGCGCGCCTTCTCGTCCCGCTTCGCCTTGCCCGCCGCGCGGTTGGCGTCGAGGCGCTTCATGCGCGCCACCTTGAGGCAGTCGCTGACGTGCTGCTTGGCCGTGTTGCAGTTGCCGAGGGACTTGTAGAGGAAGCCGCGCGCGTGGCACTCTTCGAGGGCGTTCATGACGTCCTCGCACTCTGGTGGTGGCCCGGATCGGTCAGCGGTGGGACGAGGGACACGGGGGACGGACGGGTTGGCGGGCTGCCGTGGGAAGCTTACCAATGTTGTCTTTTGTGTGCAAATGGGGATGCATTGTGATATGTTCGTCGCTTGGTCAATCAGGTGAGGTGTGCTTCTGTTTGGTGCGTGGGTAGGTCTTTGGATCGTTTGAGGGATCGCGAGCGCAATGTGCTTGGTGGCGGACAATTTGCAGGTGGTGTCTCGGGGATTGAAGATCTTCAATCGGGGGGTCTGGGATGTGCGCCAGGCAGCGCCACGTCCAGGTCGGGATTAGTGGGGCTTGGTGCTCTGACCTACCGACCTACCTTGCCTTACACGAGGGGTGACTTGAGCCTGCGCTCAACGAAATGATGATTCGATGCCCATCAAGCGCTGCGAAGCTTCCCGGTACCGCATGACAAGACCATGAAGATGAAGCTCGAGGAACAAGTCGAGTTCGCGGCCGACCGTCGACACCGACTATCGAGCACACGAAAAGAGGGTAAAGGGAGCGCTCCCTGAATGGGGCCCTAACTGAGTCCCTGGCAAACAAGGGCCGGCCTCAAGCTTTCCTGCGTCAGCAACAGGCCTACAAAAAGAACAAGAAGAACCATTCATGCCACTGCACAGAACCAGAAATGATTATTTTGGGGTATGAATCTTCATCCTATCTACACACGAACTTCATGTTAATAACCCTCAATAGTCCACCATTAATACCTTCCCAGCTTGGCAAAACGCTTCGCCTTGCCCTTCGCACTACGACTACCAAACTTCTTTGTCCAGGCAGCATCGCGACGGTGGAGCTCAACGGCGCTGCGCTTCGACGGCTGAACATTGGCGGCCTCAATGTCACCGCAGTCAGGGCGAGTGAGGTTGTTGCCAAAGGTGTCGACGACCCACAGCAGCACACCGTTAGTCCAGCCAAAACCCTCGACAACCTCGTACTCGCCACCGCCACCGGCCTGGTTGGTCGAGTTGTCCGAGTACTTCTCGAACATGATGCCAACCTCGCGCTCATCGAATCCCTCAAGCTGAGGCGTGTCACTTGTCGAGCCTCCCGTGGCGTACCACGTGCAGAAGGCCGAGTCGAGATAGCGCTGGCCCAAACGCAGGGCCAGGTCCTGCACCTCCATGTAGTGGGGATCCGACTCGCCAAAGGTGGCCGGTGTGTTGCGAAGCCCCTCCATAAGGATGTGCATCAGAGGAGGCCACACACTAGGCTGGTCCCATTGCTCCCCAGTTCGCAGGTTCGTCGCCGGAATGCCGCCGTCCTTGGTATCGAGGTACGTGGCGACCCGCTCAAACGCCGTCTTGACAGCGAGCGGGTTGTTCTTGATGTGGGCAGGCGCGGCGCCGGTCCAGAAGGGGTAGAACTGTGCCACGGAGAAATATACTTGCTGGCCTTCCGGGGCGCCAGTGGCTTCAAGATCGGTCGTGTCGTCATCCGCAGGGACAAACGTATCCTGGGCTCCAGACGTGAGGTTGTAGTCGAAGTAACCAGACAGCGTGTCATTCCACATGAGGTTGTACATAGCCTCGCTACGGTTGGCAGCCAGCGCGGTCCACTCTGCAGCCTGTGTCTCATTGCCGGTCTGGTTGAGGTAGCCAGCAATGGTGACCTCGTTCCAATAGAGAATTGAGTTGAGCTCGACGGGGACAATGTTCACAATGTTAAGCGACCTCAGCGGGAAATAAACATGGCGAACAGCGTCGTTGGGCTTGGACAACCAGCGCGAGGTATAGTCCCAGCCGCTCTCAGCACCCGAGGCGAGGTTGGCATAGAGAAAGGCCTTTTCAGTGTCGTTCAGCTCCCTGGTCTCGGGGTAGATGATGCCGGACTCGGCGTAGTAGGAGCTGTTGGATGCGGTGGTGTAGTCTTCGTAGTAGGACTCGGGACGGGGTTGCGTGTTCGACACGTTGTACCTAGGTCACCCATGTCAGCGAATTCGGCCATTGAACATGAAGAAGGTTGGCGGACATACAAGTTGAGCTGATAAGTCCGATCGTCCTTGGACACCTCAACAGTGCGGTTGACAGTCCACCACTCATGTTCCTTGATGAGCAGCGGCAGTGCCCGGTCCAGAATGTCGGTGTCGTTGGTGTGATCGACGTAGAGACGTACCATCTGCGAGAGCAGCGGCGGCTGTGAGCGGTTGAGGTAGTACCTTCTGGCGCCGTTCATGACAAAGCCATACTGGTCGACGAGGTCGAGAAAGTTTTCGATCTGGTTGCGGGAGACTTCAATGAAGCTGCCGCCCGTACGCAGCAGGCCCTCGAGAATCCAGAACGAGTCCCAGTAGTAGGGCTCACGGAAGCGGCCTCCGGCAACGACGAAAGTACGATTGATAGGGATAAAGCTGTTGGGGCAGTCGGTGCAATTGCTGCCGGCGCCAGTATAGGAGCGGGTCAGATCGGGCCAGATCTCGATGACCTTCTCAGTGAATTCGCGGATGACAGTGTCGTTGATGTTGTCGAGGAACTGGGCGTCCGTCTCGAGGTCATCCACCTCAGACAACTCGCCGCCAGCCAGGGCAAAGTTGGCCGCGAGGAAGTCGTTCAATGCCGTGTTGTTGGTCAACGGTTTCTCCAGTTCGTCGAATGACTCCTGGATCTGCTCCAAGGACCTCTTGGCGGGCCTGCGACGGTTAATCCACCGCCCTCCAGCTCGGGCGAAACGGGGAGGAGGCTCACATGTCAACAAACGTCTTGGAGTCTTCGAAGGGGCGAGCGAGCTGGATCTGGCTCAAAATTTCGCCGTGGCAGTAGATGGCTGAGTCGCAGGGGGCAATGACAGAGCCATTCCGGAAGAGCTGGGCTCTGGCCAGAGGGGCCGCGGCGGCCAACGCCACCACCGACTTGGAGAGAAGCGTCATGGTCGACGAGCACGATGCCCAAACTTGCGGCACAGATTGCGTCCGCACGGTGTAGGAAAAAGTAGAAGAGGATCGGGAGGGGGGACTGGCAGAGAGGGGGGGACTGGGAAAGTGCTGAAGAAGGAGATGGACGTCACTGCTTGAGCAGCCGATGCATGTTAAGTAGGTAGCATCGTCCGCAGCAGCACAAGCGGCAGGCGCAAGCAGAGAGAAGAAAAAAGATGCCAAAGAGCTCTGGCGAGCTCCCCTCGTCGGAGGGGGAGAAGATCGCCGGGCCACTTGGCGCCGTCAGCTTTTGTCCGCCTGGTCCGTCAGTGGTTCATACTGGGTTCGGTTGCATTGGGTCGCAAGTGCCTTGGTGTTCGGCTAGGGGCAGGAACGGTGCGTGTGCTAGGTCGCATGAGCTTGCGCCAACCAGGAGCCACGAGGTCATCATCATCGTCGACGGGGAGAACTGCAGAGGTGCCAACCTGGAAAACCTGCTGGGTCCCAGAAGGACAGGGCAGGGGAGGTACGTGGCGGGGAAGCCGATGCGCGTCGACCGGTTCTGCCGGTGGACGAGCCTTGTCCGGGGGGTGGATGCTCAGTTGCTCGGTTCGGGACGGACCTATTGAACCCATTCGACCTGTCGTTATGAGCAGGCGGCCTTTTTCATGGGGAGCCGATGTGCGAACAATCGATTCAGGTCTCCCCAGTCAAGACATCACCCCCCCCCCCCCCGAGTCCCAATTCCAGTCACCGACTATCTGGTGCCAGGCGGTGCCTCCCAAATGACCGTGACCGATGAAGCAAACGGCCGGGCACGTGGTAGCAGTTGCACCAGATCCGCGAGCCCTTGAACTGGGAGAGCGGCGAACGACACGACGCTGCCCCCGCACTACAAAGACGGAGGCGCATTGGTGGCCGGAGTAGAACCGACACTGGTGGCTTGGGCACCTGCAGATTTCATTGCTCAATATGCTCAATCATCCAGATGATGGCACTGCCGTCTTGGGAGCACTGTACTTCGTTGGTGCCCACCTAGGTCCCGTAAGTTGTGGTACCTCAGGTAGGTAGGTAGTGAAGGACGCACTTGAAGAGGTAGCCTCGAAGCATCCTTCCTGACTGCTCCCCCCCACCTCCTTCGTCCTTTCCCCAACCACCATGACGTCAACCTGGGGTAAGCGGGGCCGCCATTCCAGCGGCTGACATCGGCGCCTTGGCGCCACCCGCCAGAGGGCCTACGGCTCACCCAGTGCCACTCCATCACTCAAATAGCCACAAATCGAGCCTCAGAAAGCCATCTGGGCTGTCCAGTAGACACGAACACATGGCGATGGCGGCGCATGCAGTATTGTGGTACAGAAAATGAAGAGTGGCTACTGCTTGAAGATAATGCCTGGGCGGAACAGTCCCGCGTTCGGAGAAGTGGGCATTCAAAATCAGGTAGCTAGCACATCCAGTCACTGGGCACCGAGTGACGATCGATCAACAACAGCAGCAGCCCCAGAAAATTAGGCGAATACTTATGTCAGTGGCTGTTCAGAAGTGCTCTTGGACGTCTTGGCGCCCCGCGCTCTACGGTATGCCACATTGCAACAGCGCTCTTTGACCGTGTCAAGCGGGTGACACAGGAAGCCACACGCCAAACCCGCCCAATCCGACAAATACAGGTATCATCCAGCCAGATCCTAACTCCAGAACTCTCTCAACACCTTGTATCTCAATTAAACAGTCTGAAATTCTACTTGCTGTATAATTGGTCATGTACTTAAAGATACATCAACTTCATTAGTTCTGAGCCGATGTAAAGTATAGTATAGTGGTTCAAAGTAAGTTTGCCGTTAAGAAGTGTGGTTTCTTTTATCACGTCCTTACACGTGTGGTATTATTTTCGGTGCGTTCCAAGGTTTATCTGCTGCCAGCGTGGGACAAATACTTCTTTGCTCGTGTACTCTTGTTCATTGATTGGCAACTCTACATTGCGTACTTGAGTATTTGAATTGTGCCTGATGTGCTTACTGGACAGTATACATGCTCGCCCGTCCTGTCTGTTGTTTCGCCTCAGCCCCAGTCTTGTCCCCCGCCAGCGTCCTCTGGAACACCTCCTCCAGCTTGGGGAGCACGAGGTCCTGGTTCTGCGCAATCTGATAGTGGACCACGATTCGTCCGCTGCCGAGCTTCAGGCCGACATCCTTCCCGTATTGCACAAACGTGGCAGCGGAACATCCCGCCGCTGTCAGATCAAGCCAGACCATGTTGGTGTGCACTGGGTGAAGCAACTTGCCGCCGAGTCCCGTCCAGAGGGCCTCAACCTTCCTCGCCACATCGTGCGACGTCGTCAGCAGGCCGCCCTCGCCGTTGGGTCCCGTGCCGAATGTCTGGTCCACGGCGATCCGCGCCGGCGCTGCCACGACGCCCGACTGACGGAGGCCACCGCCGATGGACTTGCGCACCCAGCGCGCGTGCTTGATGGTTTTTGTCGGCCCCACGAAGATGCTGCCGATGGGGGCGCCCAGGCCCTTGGAGAAGCAGAGGCTGATCGTGTCGAAGAGAGAGCAGTAGTCAGCGAGGCTGCCAGCGCCGGATGCGGTGGCCTCCCAGAGCCGTGCGCCGTCGAGATGCATCTTAATGTCGTGTTCTCGCGCAAAGGTTGAAATCCGCCTGGCCTCTTCCAGGGGCATGATCATTCCGTTGAGCGTGTTCTCGAGACTGATGACCCTGGTGGGGCACGAGTGCACATCGTCGTCGATGCAAACGCTGTCCATGACATCCTCCAGTGTGAGGTGTATGCCGTTCCGCGGCACGACGGCCTGAACAAAGGCACCCGTTAAGGATGACACGCTGCGTACACGGTTAGTACCACATGGGATAGTTGTCGTCGCGCATGAGTAGAAACACACCCGCCCGCCTCATATTGGATAATGTGAGAGCGGTGATCGCTCAAGACGCTGTGTGGAGGCTGAGTGAGCAGAGACCGGAGCGCCAGCTGGTTGCCCATCGTCCCCGAGAGAACCAACAATCCAGCCTCCTTGCCCGCGAGGGCAGCAACGTGGGTCTCGAGGTCGATCGTTGTCGTATCCTCCTCGAACACGTCGTCAAACAGGGAGCCGACCCTGATGGCTTCGAGCATAGCCGGCGTGGGCGTTGTCATGGTATCACCTGTTTGCGATATCAGCGCCGTTGTGTCACCATTGGACGCTGTCAGGCTCACTTCTCAAGTCAAAGCCTGCTGCCCCCTTGTGACCCAGCCAGGTACTGGCAGGAGCAGCGGCATTCGTAGGCTTCGTGGTAGACATTGCTCTGGACAACGATGCCTTGTTCGGTGAACAACGAGTTGACCAATATGGGATACTCGTCAGTGGTGATCTTGTCCAGCGTTTGAAGATGGCCCACTGGCTGTCACACACCAAGTGTCTGGACATGGCGGAGCTGAATCTGAGGGCTCGAAAGGGTGGGGTTTCATGCGAAAAAGCCCCCCTTTGCAAGCTGTGCTGAGAGGGCGCGTTGATGTAAGGCGCCGGCCAGAGACAAGTACTCGAAGGGCGCGTTCAGGTCTGGGCCGACAATGAAGCTCCTGTGCGGTAGGGGCTTGGGTGGACCATGAACGCCGTGGTCGTGTGGTTGCGGGGTCCCCCTAGCCTGATTGGAGCGCGTTCTGCCTTTGAACAGCCGAGCGAGGCAGGTGCCTACCTACCTGCCTGCCTGCCTGCGCGCCTTCGTACCTCATGGGTAGGCACCATATCTAATCGCATGTTCCATGACTTAGGCTAACTCTGGTTTGTACGTGGGTGGTGGAAGAAAATGCGTTGGAGAATGAATCAACTCTCATGATATAGAGTTCCGAAGTAGATGTGAGATTCTGCATGCACGGTAGATCAGCTGACGGCGTACTACCGCGAAGCACATCGGCACGCGCCATGCTGTATGTATGAGCATTTCGGGATCGCCCGCGACTGTGCCTCTCTGTCAGATCAGCTCTGTCAATACCTCTCTCTGTAGCCGGTTGACTCGAAATGAAAAAAAAACCAGTGGTCCCCACCATTTTCGTCCAGTCAGCAAGGGAGTGAGTAGGTAATCTTTTGTCCCGAAGGAGGGGGAGGTCGGCTAATCTGATGTGCTGATCCCGCCCATTTTGGCCCTGGCTGGCCTTCCTGTCGCGCCAAGTATGTGCCAGTTGTCGTGCCGCCGTGATCAGCGGCATCGTACCTCGCGCGCGCAGCAACCAATCCGGTGCTCGCTGAGAGGGCTCTTCATATGCACGATGCGCTGGCAAGTCGAACAGAGCACGCAGCAGCCGGCCTCGCCTCATTAATAAATCGTGAGTATAGTCCCCCATTCGAGGTTGAGCTACCTGTCTCGAGATCTTTTCTGTTTGTTTTTTCCTTTTCTTTTTAAATATCTTTTTTTCCAAGTTTCTCCCCCCAAAAGTCCCTGTGCTTTCTCTCATACCGCCCGAAACACCCGCCAGTCTTCTCCCAAGAAGATCAAACGGGCACGGCAGCAGTGCGCGCCATAGCTCATCCCATGCTGGAAGCATATGGACACCAAGCCTGGCGCTTCTGATCATGGAAGCGCCCAGCCTGTCAACCCACGACCAACTGACTTCGTGGTGCGCGTCAAAGCTACCAGGATTGCCCACCCACCATCTCACACGAGAACTGGCTACAGGGTGACTCTTATGCTCACGGTGGTTATATTTTCTCATCTGAAAAATTGGAAAGTTCGTATCATCGTCGTCATCCATCGTTAACGTATGCTGGTCAGCCGCCCAGTTCCAATTGGCCGTGTTGCCTCGCTGCCTTACGCAATGTTGCATTGCCCGTCACTGGACAAAATGAAACACCTCGCGGTAACGAGGAGACATCATGAGCCTAGTCTGCCCCGCTCTTCTTCCGACAAAGGCTTCACAACGCTTTCTCCTCCTTCGAGACTGTTGTACCCAACCATCAAAGACTGAGTGGTTATGCAGTCTTTCCAAACGTACATCGTGTTGAGATGAAGGCCTTCTCTTTGTTCATGGCGGAAGAATCGTAAAAAAATCCTTCATGAACTGCGAAATTTGCCGACTTTCCACGTCTCCCTGACGTCTTGAGCCATTACACACCAGGCCGACTACTCAGCAAACCGAAATAGGCATCCAACGCGTGCCGGCTTGAAGCCTGCTGTGCGAATGAGCTCCCGCACTGCCAGCAGCCGCTGGTCGCCCCAAAGGCATCACGCAGCATGCGATTTCACCTGTTGGCCCACTTCATGAGCCATTGAATGACAGCATCCAAGTTTGTCTCCTCCTTGGCGCTGATGCCGTAACAGCAGACTTCGCGGTGACCGATCGTCTTGAGGTCCAAAGCATCGATGAGCTCATCAACGGACAGCTTATTCGGCAGATCAGATTTGTTGCCCAGTACGAGGAGGGGGATGCCTTTCAAGGAGTTCTGCTCCATGAGCGCATGGAGTTCGTCCCGGGCCTGCTGAAGCAGATCTACATCGGCAATGTCGACGATGAAAACGATGGCGTTCACTCCTCGGCAGTACCTCTCCCACATGGTCCGAAAACGGGGTTGTCCACCAATATCCCAGCATTTGAGCGTGACGTGTCCCCGTTGCACACGCTTCATATTGAATCCGACCGTCGGGATCGAGCTACACAAGTTGACAGTTAGCCGAGTTCATTGCTGTCCGGGACCGTCAACCGAATGAGGGGCCTGTATCGACGGCTTGGGGTTTTGCCAAGGGTTGAGAGATCGCAAATAGCAGAAGGAAGGGGGGTGCCTACTCGATCGTGAATTCGCCGCCCTGACCAAGGCGCGTTAGCAAGAAACAGGTGCGGCAAAGGTGCGTCGCGAAATATACTCACAGCAAGGACACGCAGCAGAGACGTCTTGCCTGCTGCTTGCAGTCCGATCATGGTCACATCCATTTCCGTTGCCCTGCATACCTGGTCAGCGAATACCGAGATTGCGCGTTGCTGGCCGCGACAGACGCTCCAGGAAGGAAAAATCCACGCACCAAAACGTCCTGAGCAACCAATCATACATCCTTCGGAACAAGCCCGCCATTGTAGCGAAGATTGTGCTAGCAAAAAAAAAAAAGGGCAACAAGGTCAAAGAGGTACAAGACAAGATGGCGAGGCTGCTGTATCGGGTGCCGCGTGATGTTCGGCGCAACCAGGATAGACGGTGAAGGGAGGGGCAGCGGGGGTGGGGTATTAAGGTGAAGATCGGAAGGCTCTCCGCGCAGAGCAAGCCTGCGTCGATGTTGATGAAGTGAGTAGGCGGCAAGGGAACGAGTATCTCTGTATGACCGTCACAGCTGGTCAGCGGTCGCAGCCTGCACTGAATGGCGCCGGAGGGGTGTAAATTTTGGTCGTGTGAGAGGTGGAGAGTGTTGGTTCGCGCCTGACGCAGTTGCAAGTGACGGAGTAGAATCGGCGGCAACGGGTAGATCAGAAGTCAAGGTGACGCTCAGATGAAGACGCACAAAGCCCCCACCCGCAACGAACCGAACGTATGGGCCAACCTGCGCAGGAACCAGGAGCCACAGAGGAAGCACAAGTTGTGCTGGGCCGTGTCGATGTAATGACGGTAGTCCAGCGGGACGTAGAGGCAATCGCAGAGGTCGGAGGCAGGTTTGGCAGCAATGCGACGCGACTGCTCAAAGCCTTGCAGTCTGACGAACGCCCTGTAGCGGTGATGACCAGGGTCTCATTCGTGTCCTCCTGCCGATGAGATGTGGAGTAGCAAGCAACGGCAGCTGCAGATGCAGGAGCAGGAGCAGAATCAGAATCAGGGTCACGATCAGACCGAGGCGCTTGAGAAGCCGAGCAACGCAAGTTCCCGAGCACGCCCTTTTGAAGACTCGTAGGTGTGCGCTGTGCGAGGAGATGCGATGATGGCAATCAACGCTCGACTCAAGTATTCGTGCCGGGGTCACCACGCCAGTGCCCAGTGTCCGGCGGTGCGCACTATGTGGTGAACAGTGCTCAACGATGGAGTGACAGGCAATCTGAGGCCGATGGTCTGGCCACACGGCAGGCAGTGGTCACTCAAAAATGTCTGTACGTCGTCGAGTATTTGCGGGGGATGGAGGCCTAGCAAGCTTCTGAGGAATGTTGTCCGAGAGTGTGATGAGGAGATGGGTAAGCTTTTGACGGTGGAGGTTGAGGTCGGGTAAGGCAAGGTAGGTAGGTAGGTAAGGTAATAAGGTGAGGTGGGTGGGTGGGTACCTAGGTTTGGTAGGTACCTAGGTAGGTAGCTTGGGTTGCTTGGGTAAGGTAGCTAAGTAGGACAGACCGCAGTAGCTAAGGCACCTAGCCTGGCTTCATGGGTATGGTTTAGTAGTGAACGGCTCCTGAACCCCACGGCCCGAGGCGGGACGGGCAGGAGGACGGAGTAATAAATGGAGACAGCGCTTGTTCCAGTGACGTCCTTGACCAGGCTTCTAGGTACGCTTTACATGACTTCTTTGTGGTCTGGCCCCGTGATGGTCAGAGCGGCTAGCTTCACCAACATGCATTCATACGCGCCCAGCACAGTCTTCCTCCACCCCCTGCGCGACGAAATCGAGTCGAGTCGCAAGGTAAAGAGGCCGCCAACTGTTTATTGACGGTCTTTGTATTGGGCCGTCAGGAACCGTCGAGAGGCCAGGCGGTTTCTGCAGAGGCCAAGGCCCGAGGCCTCAGGCCCCCAGATGAGCCGCCAGCTTAAGGTGTAGCCTCGCTACTTTGGTACGTAGGGACGTAACAAGGTGAGGTAGTAAGGGTGCCACCCTACCCTGTCTTTCAACTTGTCTGCAGGGCGCCTCAACATGAATATGATACGTCGAGGTGACTGCATGCTGAGGCACTGGGACAGAAATGTACAGTGAACACCAGGCGTCGCAGCCTGCGAGGGGGCTTGCGCAGCAGACTGGCAACCAAAATGGTTACGTGTGTGTGTGTGTGTGCGTGTGTGTGTGTGAGCGCGCGCGTGTGTTTGTGTCGGCCGGTTGGGGTCGAGCTGCAGGTCACGCAGCATGCCTCACTGCTTTCCGTCCTGGTCGGCAACGGGCGGCGTTAGTGCGCGTGGCCTCAACCATGGTGGGATGTCTAGATGGGGCGGACCGGGTATGCGACCTAACCAGCCACCGAGTCGGCCGAGAGCTTCATCACTTCAGCGACGGCGAACTTGATGCAATGGGCCAATACGCCAACTCGGAACATGAGATCGGGCGTACCAGGAGCTCGTGTGTGTTTGAGCCTGCAAGCAAAAACGGTCCACTTCGGTCTCTTGTGAGACAAGGAGTTAATGACACAGATCTCCAGATCCAAGCTGCTCCCCACCATGTTAGCCACCCTGAGATGAAGGCTACCTTACCTAGGTAGGTAGTTCAAGTGTGTGCACAATTTTGCTTCTTGGCAACCATGACGGTAGAATCTCGATTGCCAAGTTGACCAATGTAATATGCATGCGGTATGGTGAGTTTAAGCTGCGTTGAAATGAGTGTTCCCAAACAGGCCCATCCTTCGAATGTCTTCTATTGTTTGATGTGCCTCTCATGCTCGAGGATAAAGACGGCTGTATGAGCATGGGATCAGGCAGGTGGATGCTCCGTCCACTTCAGAACCTGTCAGAGGCCCAGCTTGCCGGAAATGGTACCAATGTACGGCATGTTACAGGCGGCAGCGGGTCTATCGTTATCAGAACATTCACGGTGGGGCCATCGACAGCTTCCCGTCTCTTATCCGTCCAACCATTTGGTAGAATCACTCCCCGCCATCAATTTTTTTTTTCCACTGTCTTATCGCAGAGAGCTCCCGAGCCGATTTGAATTCATCGTGCAGTCTACTGCTCGCCATTCGAGCATCTGTCTAGACACCCACCAAGCAAGGCTTTTGGCTCACGATTTGCTGATCGCGCTGCCCAACTGCGACGACAGCATTTGCGCATGCACTCAAGGCCAACTTGGGGCGCTGCTTAGAGTCTTTGCGCCGCCTTTTATCACCATCTGCCCGCCTTCCAATCATCCATCCCCCCGACCCGGATCAGGCACCATGGCTCCCTCCGCCACCAACACGAAATGGGACCATGAATACAATACGCTGCGGCGAGAAAATCTTTTCAAAAACCCTCCCAAGGATCACACCGCCTACCCTGCGCTCCAGGCAGCCGTGAGCCCACACATCGAGTCCTTCAATGCCCTGTTCCGCAACGATGGCAAGCCGAGTTTGCTCGATCACGGCCTGGCCGATATTGGCACCAAGACATTTCTCGACGGCGACGATCGGACGCCTCAAGGCCAGAGGAATAAATTGACCATCCGCTACAAGGGCGTAAGCCTTCAAAAGTCACAACTGCCGCCTTCCAATAAGTACGCCAAAACCCGGGAGATCTTCCCTGCCGAGTGCAGAGAACGGCACGTCACCTATCGTGGCAAGCTCTCCGCCACCTTCGAGTTCCGCATCAATGATGGCGATGCCAAGGAGTTCACACGCGATCTGGGACAGATGCCCATAATGGTCAAGGTAAGCCAAATCACGGGTCTACGCCGTCTCGTTCTCCAGAGCGCACTAACTCACCCTCTCACAGTCAAACCGGTGTCATCTCGAGGGCAACTCGCCCGATCTGCTGGTGAAGAGGAAAGAAGAGTCCGAAGAACTAGGCGGCTACTTCATCGTCAACGGTATCGAGAAGATCATTCGACTGCTCCAGGTCAACCGACGAAATTTCCCAATGCCATCTACCGACCCAGCTTCGCCAACCCGTGGCGCCGGCTACAGCCCTCACGGCATTCATTCCTTCGCTCAGTTAGGCCCGACGAAACCTTTCTCAACCAACGGTCTTGGCACTTATCTTACCGACGAAACATGACATTCCCGCTTTTCTGGCGGAAAACGAATACCTCGTTCCAGTCATGATGATCCTCAAGGCCCTCGTCGAGACGAACGACCGCGAAATCTTTGAGGGGTTGATTGGTTCCAAGGGCTCCAAGTCTGCCCAGAACACATTTTTGACCGACCGCGTCGAGCTCTTGTTGCGTACCTACACCAGCTACGGCCTCTACACAAAGACAGAGACTCGAGCGTATCTTGGTGAAAAGTTCCGCGTTGTCTTGGGCGTTCCCGATACTATGTCCCACTACGATGTTGGTACCGAGTTCTTGAAAAGGATCGTGCTCGTACATCTAGGAAATGTCGACGTCACGGAACAACAAGACAGCGACAAATTCAAGATGCTGCTGTTCATGATCCGCAAGTTGTATGCACTCGTTGCTGGCGAGTGCTCGGTGGACAACCCTGATGCCATCCAGAACCAGGAGGTTCTTCTCGGCGGCTTCCTCTACGGCATGATCTTGAAGGAGCGCCTCGACGAATTCCTCTCCACGGCTGTCCGCGCATCGCTGCGCGATTACCACAGGAAATTCCCCGCCAAGACGTTTACTTCTCAGGATTTCCAAAAGGATTTCCCTGCCACCATCTTCCGACTCGCGAACGAGAGCCTTGGCTCTGGCCTCGAATACTTCATGTCGACCGGTAATCTCACTAGCCCGTCTGGTCTCGATCTCCAGCAGACCGCCGGCTACACCGTTGTGGCCGAGAAGCTCAACTTCCTGCGTTTCATCAGTCACTTCCGGATGATTCATCGTGGTGCTTTCTTCGCGGAACTCAAGACCACAACGGTCCGAAAGCTTCTGCCCGAATCTTGGGGTTTCTTGTGTCCGGTGCACACCCCCGATGGTTCTCCTTGCGGTCTGCTGAATCATCTTGCCCACAAGTGTAGAATCATGACGGATCCCGTTGACACATCAACTCTACCTGCCTTGGTAGCTGAAATGGGAGCCGTGAGCACGTCCAGTGCCGCCACCGACGAGAGTGTTGTTGTCATGCTCGACGGTCGCGTGCTGGGCTTCTCTACGCCCCAGGAGTCTATTCGCATCGCCGACACGCTGCGGTACTGGAAGGTCGAGGGTACACACGGCGTGCCCTTGGAGCTCGAGATCGGCTACGTGCCTCCTTCCAACGGAGGCTCCTACCCCGGCCTGTACATTGCATCCAAGGCGGCCCGCATGGTCAGGCCTGTCAAATACCTCCCCCTCCAGAAACAAGATTATGTCGGGCCCCATGAGCAGCCGTACATGTCCATCGCCGTCGTGGAAAAGGAGATCATCTCCGGCGAGTCCACGCACGTCGAATTTGACCCGACCAATATGCTGTCCATTCTGGCCAACATGACACCCTTCTCTGACTTTAACCAATCTCCTCGAAACATGTACCAGTGCCAGATGGGCAAGCAGACGATGGGCACACCGGCGACGGCTCTGGCACACCGAACTGACAACAAGCTCTACCGCATCCAGACCGGACAGACGCCTGTTGTCAGGTCGCCACTGCATAATGAGTACGGCTTTGACAATTTCCCCAACGGAATGAACTCGGTTGTTGCCGTCATTTCGTACACCGGCTACGACATGGACGATGCCATGATTCTGAACAAGTCTTCACACGAGCGCGGATTCGGACACGGTACCATCTACAAGGTGAAAAAGGTTTCACTCAAGGATGACTCAAGAAGTCGTACTGCCAAGCAAGTCACCAAGCTGTTCGGTTTCGCCCCCAACAGCTTCGTCAAGGGCGAGTACCGCAGCATGCTCGACGAAGACGGGCTTCCGTACGTCGGCCGCATGGTCCAGGAGGGAGACATTCTTTGCGCCTATCACACCGTCACCGCAGACTTCAACGGCAATCTGACCAACCTCGACGGCCAGACGCAATACGAGAAGTACAAGGAGTCGGAACAGGCGTTCATTGAGGAGGTGCGCATCATCGGCAGCGAGAACGGCAATGAGCCGGCGCAGACTGTATCGATCAAGCTCCGCGTTCCTCGTGCCCCCGTCATCGGTGACAAGTTCTCTTCTCGTCACGGACAAAAGGGTGTCGCCTCGCAAAAGTGGCCTGCCACTGACATGCCCTTCACTGAATCTGGCATGCAGCCTGACACCATTATCAACCCGCACGCCTTCCCCTCGCGCATGACTATCGGCATGTTCGTGGAGTCGCTAGCGGGCAAGGCGGGCGCGCTACACGGCCTGGCACAGGACTCGACGCCGTTCAAGTTCAACGAGGAGAACACGGCGGCCGACTACTTTGGGCATCAGCTGATGAAGGCGGGCTACAACTACCACGGAAACGAGCCCATGTACTCGGGCATCACAGGAGAAGAGCTTTCGGCCGACATTTATATTGGTGTCGTGTACTACCAGCGACTGCGTCACATGGTGAACGACAAGTACCAGGTACGAACGACGGGTCCCGTGGTGCCGACCACCGGGCAGCCTATCAAGGGCAGGAAGAAGGGTGGTGGTATCCGTGTCGGTGAGATGGAGCGCGACGCCCTGCTGGCGCACGGCACAGCGTTCCTCCTGCAGGATCGTCTGCTCAACTGCTCGGATTACACCAAGTCCTGGATTTGTCGGTCGTGTGGCTCGTTCCTCTCGGTGCAACCAACCGTGTCGCCGTTCGTCGGTAAGAAGAAGCAGATCAGCACGGTGCGGTGTCGCAGCTGCGCCAAACGGCTCGACGAGACCGACCTCGAGGGCGACAGCATCGAAGGCGAGATTTGGGAGGACGGTCAGGGCAACCAGTGGGTGGGCGGCGACAACACGACCGTTGTAGTCGTGCCGGGCGCGCTCAAGTACCTCGACGTCGAGCTGGCGGCCATGGGTGTCAAGCTCAAGTATCGCGTGGACCAACGGGATGCGCCGAGAAAGGGGGCGCTGAAACCGATGAAGGCATTGGATGGCGTTTTGGGCAAGGCGTAACATTGGGGTTTGAACGACTTTGGACTTTGTATCAATATATCTTTTTTCACGACAACGGAATGGAAAGAAAGTCACTTGCTACTGTGTCTCGCAGCAAGTGGCTGTTTTGCTGCTGTGCAATGCTCAGATCTGTGTGCGGTCAGACTAGGCAGACCAACTCGGACGCAAATCTTAAAAGGTAAGAGGATGAATGGCTTGACGAACCATCTCGTGCTACCAGTGTACCGATGTGGAGAAGGAGAGGCAGCGCAGAGTTATTGCATATCGGGACGCAGGTAGCCGTGTAGGCAAGACTTGACCTCTCAGGATGAGGCTTGGTTGGGTGCGAAGGGCGACGCAAGATCTGTAGGTTACCGAACGTTGATTGATGAGACAATCCCTCAAGGACTTTGTGTTGGTGGTTGGAAAGAATTCAAATAGGCTTATCTGCGTGTGTGGATGATACAACAGCTACGTGATCATTTGCCTCTGGCACACAAAGCCAACGCAGGCAAGTGCTCGCAGCGATAGGCAGAATAGTCATCAAGTAGCAAGGGAACTCAAAGTTGATGCTTTGTATCTCTATGCCCTGACTCTGATAAGGCTCTCGTGAAAGTCGACTCAGGTGGTCAGTATGGGGGCATCAGTATGGAAAACGTTGGGCAAACTGGGGAGGGTACAAACCGAGAGCAACGGCAAAGGATGCGTAAAGACTTCTTTCTCCTGGTTTTTTTTAAAGCCAGAGAGAGGTACTTGACCTGCTGGTAGTCGGAGATCTGACTGAGAATTCTCTTATTTCTGTTTGCTCAGGAGCAACGGTGAGATTGGCGATATTCGGGGGAAAGAACTCACCAGATGAAGCAAATGCTTTCGGAACATACCTTCCACCTCCTCAGCCTTCTATCGCCTGGGATTCTTCCTCTTCCCATGAGCTACATCCATTCTTCTGCTTCGCGCATCCGGCTAGATCTCGGGGCAGACGCGCGTCGCCACTTCCATCGTAAGAGGCCGCCCACGTTTTCAACTGTAAGCACCGATACACCGGCAAGGGCAAGCGTGACAGCTCTTGGTGATATTTGACCCTGAGACTTCCCCTTCAGAAACAGATCAAGTTTTGATTATCTTGGATCTTGTGTCTTACGATCCGTTCTCATTCTGCAGAAGACTCGCCCTGGTTACCCCCTACCCTTGAACGGCTTGATACATTGAGCATGCAGCCGCCGCCCGCCTGAATGAGACCACGGCATCGACGCGATACCGCCCGACATTTTTCTACGTCCCAAGGACGGTCATCTTTGTCGAATTCTGCACAGACTTGGCCTTCATCGGACTCGGGGTTGCGACAGCTCAAAAGCTCCCCAACCCTACCTGAGCATCACTTGCGCTATCCGCCACTTTCTTTCGACTTTTACAGAAAAGACGCTCCTCAATCTTAAACGCCATGCTTCTGCGTGTTTCTATTCAGGCAACCACGCTTTTGTCCTTTGCCCTGGCTGTTCAAGCCTCGAGAGGCATTCTGGGCCCCTATGGCTACGGGTTTGATATAGGCCCTTTGGTAAAACGGCAAAATGAACAGCCAATCGTGGTCTCCGGCCTCCCAGCGGTGAATGGCAGCATACCTGTTCGTCCAGAGATTCGGGATATGAAACGGAATTCCCGCAAATGGAATCTCTACATTCTCGCTCTGAGTATGATGCAGCACACCGACCAGGATGAGGAGCTCTCATGGTACCAAATTACAGGTGAATCTTCCACGCTCCCTCATAAATTACCATCAACTCACACCGGCGTTGCTTCAGGCATTCATGGAGTCCCGTTTGTCCCGTGGAATGGCGTCGAGGGCGTGACTGACGGTGCCAGTCATGGCTACTGTGCCCATATGTCTATTCTTTTCCCCACCTGGCATCGCCCTTATCTAGCCCTGTACGAAGTATGTTACCTGAGGCATATCGGTACATCCTGCAATGATATGATCTGGCACATGATGCGAATCTCTGCTAATCATAGAATAGCAAGTTCTCTTCCATCTCGTTCAACTGATTGCATCATGGTTCAAGGACCCCATCGAGAGAGCAGCATACGAAGCGGCAGCCTCAGACTTTCGCATTCCGTACTGGGACTGGGCTGTGACCCCAGATCCTGGTGAAAGTGCTTATATACCCGAGTTCCGACGAGAAGCTCTATCTGTATACGGTCCCAATGGCGAACAACTCATTGCCAATCCCCTCTTCAGCTACCAATTTCGACCCCTGGACCCTGAAGTCTTCGGCTGGGGGGATGTAAGCAATTGGGGTGTTTCCTAACAAGACCAGAAGCTCTGACAGATTTTCCAGTTTTCCCAATGGACTGAGACGAAAAGATCCCCGGTAGGAAACACGTCGAATAATACTCAGTCCGCGCAAGCCGTTGATCGCGCGCTCCCAAACTTGCAAGAACGGCTCTTCAACCTCTTCTCCAACTATCGCGACTACGGTCCATTCAGCAATAAACGCTGGGGTGAATGGACTGACTCGTCGCAATTTGACTCGCTCGAGTCCTTACATGACGAGATACACATCGAGGTTGGGCATGGGGGTCACTTGTTCTACCTTCAATACTCGGCCTTTGATCCCGTTTTCTTCCTCCATCACACCATGGTGGATCGGATTTTTGCCATGTGGCAAGTATTGAATCCACGATCATGGGTGACGGAGCAGAACACTACAGTCCCAACTTACACCATGGCGCGAGGCTTGATGCAGAACAGCTCGTCCAGCCTCACGCCATTTCTGGCCAACGTCGATGGTCAATTCTGGAACTCAGACACGGCACGATACACACAAGATTTTGGGTACACCTACGCCGAAACATCAGGTCTCAGCATGGCAGGGATCTCAGGGGTGGATATGGACGACCGAGCCCGTGTGAGCTTGGCCATAAACCGCCTATACGGCTCGTCCAGTCCCTCCATGTTGGCCCGAAAACAGAAGCGCATGGATTGGCACGTTTCTCCGGACAGAGGTACAAACTGGCTCCAATGGCATGCGAAAGTCACCAACGCTATCACGAATCGTATCCCGGATCTGTCTCCCCAAGCAGAGCCACGCGTGCCCCCGCTCGAGCTGGAACGGGGAGCGTACACCGAATGGCTTGCCAACGTTCGCGTCATCAATGGGGCATTAAACGGATCTTTCTCCGTCCTCTTCTTCTTGGGTTCAGTCCCTCAGGACGTGGTCTCCTGGAAAGCGTCGTCGAATCTTGTTGGAACAATGGGTGTCTTCGCTATGCCACGTATGGGAGCCGAGAATCACATTTCAGGCACGGTGCCATTGACCAAAGCTTTGCTCAAGGCGGTCGATCAGAGGTTCCTGGGACGGCTTGATCAAACTGAGGTGACAAAGTTCCTCCAGGACAATCTCCAGTTCCGGATCGTCGGGCACAATAGCACTGCGGTTGATGCGCGGCAAGTGAGAGGACTGTGTGTAGAGGTGGCTAGCTCCGACGTGAAGATGGCGATGAACGAGTGGGAGCTTCCGAGCTGGGGCCAAGTGAGGACGAGGTTTAATATGGTGTGTTGAAGCTGCAGTATGATCAGATCATTGTGTGTCAGTGGCGGTTTCTTGACGTCCATGTATGTATTTTCCGGGAGAGATAGTGGATAGATAGACCCCAAAGTAACAATTGGGTCGCAAATTGATATTTCTTATCGGAACTACATTCGAATCAAGATGAGACGCCTATGTGGTAGTAGCCTTGACACTGAGATCAAATGAAGCGAGGTTGATGAGATTGATGTGTGTCACCAGCCAGCTGATGTGGCACTGTGGGGCGTGATGGAGAAGTCAAGGTGACTAATGCGGTGATTCACTCATCCACCTTGACGGTCATCAACAACATTTTGAGATTCAAGGTTCGCCCGCTTCATTTCGTGCTATTGGAAGTTCCGCATAATTACTGCTGCAGTCTCTGAATTGAACTTCTAGCTTCAATTGACGGACCTAACAGACCTATCGAACCAGCTTCACTGCCAGGGATCCGATTGCGGCGCCAAAGACCTCGGTGACTCGTTCCGAGTGCCAATCATCCAGCTCATTCCAAAGAGTCGCTTGACACGAAGGTTTTCCGCCATGGGCCGTCTCGTAACCGTCGCCGCTTGCTCGCTGAGACAATGGGCGCTAGATTTTGAGGTACTGCCCTCTGGAAATGTGGTTTGAGGCGCGTCCAGCTTACTTGCTCATGACAGGGTAACACCGAGAGGATTATCGACTCAATCCGTCAAGCGAAAGCTTCCGGAGCAAGACTCCGCGTCGGACCGGTGCGTGACACTCCATCCCTTACCCAGCCGGCGTACGAGGTCTACATGTTTCTGCACAGGCGCCTGACCCTTGACCGCAGGAGCTAGAGATATCAGGCTACTCTTGCAATGACCACTTCTTAGAGCCAGATCTCTATCTCCACTGTATGGAGATGTTGGTTCGGATTCTATCAGATGAGGATTGTCATGGAATTCTCCTGGATATCGGTCTTCCCGTTACTCACCGCAATGTGAACTACAATTGTAGGGTAGTATGCCTTGATGGCAAGATCCTCTTCATCCGCCCTAAAATGCGTAAGTATGGCAACGGCATGATATCGAGCTTCCCTTGCGATGAACTTGCTTTGATTTTTTAAGCGATGACGTGAACAACGGCTAACTTGAAAACAGATTTGGCAAATGACGGCAGTTAGTCTGCCCTTCTACCGCATCGCCGGTGACCAGACGAATTCCATGCTAACAGGCTAGATTACCGCGAGATGCGCTACTTCACCCCGTGGCTTCGACAGACAGAGTGGGAAGAGTTTCACCTGCCGAAGGGCTTGCAGAAGCTCCAGGGGGCCACGCATGTGCCCTTTGGCGATTGCGTCGTCAGCACACCCGACAGCTGCTTTGGCGCGGAGACCTGCGAGGAGATGTGGTCCCCTCAGGCACCACGTGAGCACCTCAGGATATTGTTTGCGTACAGCTTGTTGACAGTCTTCCTTAGATATCCCGATGACCCTGGATGGCGTGGAGATTATCACCAACAGCTCGGCCAGCCATTTCAGCCTCCAGAAGCTCGATGTGCGACTTAAGCTCATTGGAGAAGCCACTCGCAAGTGCGGAGGTGTATATGTGTACTCAAACGTCCAAGGTATTTATCTTAGCCTGCATGGAACTACTTTGATACTGGGTCAGATGCAGGCACGCTCCCGAGCTGTTCTGTCACACCTCATGTCTGCGATACAACACCCCAAATGTTAGGCTGACGGGTTTCATAGGTGGCGACGGTGAGAGATTGTATTTTGACGGCTGCGCCATGATATTCTGTAACGGAGAGGTGCTCGCGCAAAGCCCTCAGTTTTCACTCAATGATGTGGACGTCGTTACTGCAACCGTTGATCTTGAGGAAGTCCGAGCCTATCGTTCGAGCATGTCTCGAGCGCTACAGGCAGCGCGAAGCACCCAGAAGTATCATAGGATTCAGACCTCTTTCGAGATGAGCCCAGACGAGGATGATATGGACCTCTACCGCCGGCCGACCCTGACTCGGGAAGCGAGGTTCCATTCGGTTGAGGAAGAAGTTGCTCTCGTGCGTGAACCCTTTTCGGCCGAATTCGTTTCCGTGAATGCTGACGAAATTTCAAGTGCGCCGGTTGTTACCTTTGGGATTACCTGGCCCGGAGCAAGTCCGCGGGATAGTAAGTTTCATCGGATCGATAAGTTCCCTCCCACCGCGTCTGACGACATTCCTTAGTCTTGCTCCTCTTTCAGGCGGCCTGGACTCATGTGCCACAAGTGAGTGGTTCTCTACGCTGAGCTCCCTCTGGACCCCACTAAGACTTGCTACCAGCTGTGTCTGTCTTCTCGATGTGTCGGCTCGTCATCTCTGCAATCACGGATGACAACCAGACGGTCATCGCTACAGTCAAGCGCATGTTTGGCGACGCTCCCCTACCGAAGACGCCCCAGGAACTGTGCAACCGTGTTCTCCACACGATCTACATGGGAATGTCGAAGCAAAGCTCTCATGAGACGCGCCAGCGAGCGAAGGATCTCTCCCAGGCCATGGGCAGTTATCACATCAACCTGGACATTGACTCTGTCTACCAAGCGCAGAAGGATCTTGTCAAGTCTTCGCTCGGCTTTGACGCGAAATTTAAGGTGGAGGGTGGAACTGAATCAGAAAATTTGATGCTGCAGAACATTCAAGCACGCACGCGGATGGTGGTATGACAGACACCTGGTTGAAAACTTGACGGGTATCTCGACTAACGGTGTCGTACCAGACTGCCTACGAGTTCGCCCAGATCCTTCCGACAACACGCAAGCTGGCGGGTGGAGGCGGCCTGCTTGTCCTTGGAAGTGCCAATGTTGGCGAGGGTACGCATCACTCTCTCTTTATCGGTGTCGAACTGTTTAAGCAGGACTGATGATGGTACAGCACTGAGAGGTTACCTCACCAAGTACGATTGCTCGTCCGCGGACATCAACCCTATCGGATCCATCGACAAGGCGGACCTAAAACGCTTCATTGCGTGGGCCCAGGTTCAATTTGAAATGCCGTGCCTCGAGGAGTTCCTGACTGCGACGCCTACTGCTGAACTAGAGCCCGTGACCGAGGACTACGTCCAGTCAGACGAAGCGGACATGGGAATGTCATACGCTGAATTGACCGTTTTTGGTATGGCATTCATGAGACCACTGACAGGTTGGTGAATGCTGACAGAATGAACCTAGGCCGCCTCCGCAAAGAGAGGAAGATGGGACCGCTTTCCATGTGGCAGCACCTCGTCCATGTTTGGGGCAAGGACCGAGAAAAGGGTCCCGAGGATGAAAATCCCATGCTTGAGCCCGCAGAAATTGCGCAGAAGGTCAAATTCTTCTTCGTGCACTAGTATGTTTCCCTCCGCAACTGAGTTGAAGCCCCTTGCCGCGCAGAAGGCGACCAGGTCTGGTCCGCGAAGAACTGCTAACTAGAGGATAGTGCGATCACGCGTCACAAGGCTACCACCCTCACACCAGCCTGTAAGTTTTATCAGTTCAACTTTTGGTGGTTTCTCGCAAGCTAACTTTTTGCAGTGCACTGGTAGGAACAATGTACCGAGCCTTCATGGTGGCGTAGAACACTGACTAGGACTATAGTAATGACTACTCGCCCGATGATAACCGATTCGGTACGTTGCCTCATTATGAAGACTGTTCTACATGCTAACCGAACATGCTAGACCTGAGGCCCTTCCTCTGTTAGTTCACCACCACCTCACTTTGGCGCTAGCTGCGTGCAGCTTGTCCGTTGACTAACAACACACTCCAGATCCCTCGTTCTGGCAGAGCTGGAGCTTCAAGAGGATTGATAAGGAGCTCGCGCGTGTAGAAAAGGCCCGGAAGAAGGTTTGAGCAACCACACATCATGGCTAGGGTGAATAGTGTAAGTTTTGGCACAATCTTAACAATACGCAGACGTATTTATGCCTTGTAAGTGCCAGGTACGCGCCTTGTTCGGGAGATGAATGAATGCCCTGCTTGTGAGGCGAGGTGTGTTCTTATGTCCGTGGAGACGGCCCCAACGCGCCTGGGAGCGTATCCCAATGCGCTACACGGAAGATTCGGGAGAGTCTGACGACCTTTGGAAAAACGTAGCCAAGATTTCTCTTTTTCCCTTTCGATGTAATATCAATATTTCTCCAGGTCAGGTACCTGCCCCAACATTCATGGCGAGGTTCGTATCACGTGATTATGAACATGCCCCACCCACCTAGCCTTTTGGGGTCGTCCCTGGTTAGCGGCTTGACGGCTTGAGGCTGGCGCTGCTGCTGCTGCTTCGGTGCACTATTCCTGCCTCGCAACACCGCCAGCCGCGACAACGTCCAATATTCGAGACGTCGCGCCCCATCAAGCAAGGCAACAGCCACAACGCACACACCCAGGCAATTGATCCTGACCTAAAGGCACCATGAAGCTCGTCAGGTATGTCCATCCCCAGCTTTCGCTCACAGCAGGAACCACCACTTCTTCCCCTCCCCTCCCCTCCCCCGCCTTGCTCTGAACCAGAGCTTGCGATGATGCCCGAGCCGCCGCTGGCAGAATATGCAGATGAAAGGCTGACGAGGTGTGGTCTCGGTTAGGTTCCTGATGAAGTGTGCCAACGAGACGGTCACGATCGAGCTCAAGAATGGCACCATCGTCAACGGCACCATCTCCTCCGTCTCGCCGCAGATGAACACGGCTCTCCGCATAGTCAAGATGACGACCAAGGGTCAGGACCCCGTTGCGCTCGACACGATGAACATTCGCGGCTCGACGATTCGATACTTTATCCTGCCCGACTCGCTGCCGCTCGATACGCTGCTCGTCGACGACGCGCCCAAGCCGAAGAACAAGGCGAGGAAGGAGACCGACAGGGGCGGCCGCGGCGGTCCTCGTGGCGGGCCCCGGGGTAGGGGACGCGGAAGGGGACGCGGCAGGGGACGCGGCTGAGGCGATGAAGAAGGGCTGGCGACGGAGGGGGCCGCCGCTGTCGCGACTCGGGTATTTGGATCGTGATGGGTGCGCTGGCAGCCGTGGGCGCTCGTGCCATGGCTTCACAGAGGCGGTGAGGGCGGACCTGACGTCGGCCTGGTATGTGCCACCCGCGCGTAGCGTCGGCGGCTTCGTAAGACGGAACGCGGTCACGGCGCGCAAGCTTCTATGGAGGGGCCTTGCCGTCAAACTCTCGGCGTAGGCCAGGCAGAAGAAAAAGGCACAACTGCTAAGAGACGCTACTGGGATGCTTGTTTTGGCGTTTGGGAGAGAACCACAACGACGAGACTCAATACTACATCTGCCGCCGCTGCGGCGACCGCTTTCTGGATATCAACAGCATGTGAGGCGATTCTCTTTGTCCTTGGCACATCTTATGCCTCATGATCCGCTCTCCCTGCCCGGACTTGACGAGACTCCAATGAACGGTTTGCATGTTATAGAGTGACGAGGCCAATTTTGCTCAAGGTTGAGAACACTGTCTAGAGAATGGTGCTGGAGTGGCACATGTGGCAGTCATGACTATGATCATGTACCAGATAGCGCCACAAGAGCTGTCTCCTCACGCCCCCGTCGCGCGCGCTTCCCTCCATGCCCTGATGATCTGCAGCTTCTCCCACCCCGCCTGCTTCCCGCTGTCGCCGACCTTGTCAACTCTCCATTCGTTACCAAGCCCCCGTATCCTCGCCTTGACCTCCTCGGGCCTATTCTGCGCACACAGAAGCACGTAAGCGCAGCCCCTCGCCGAGAGCACCCTCGGCAGCGCATCGATGAGCCTGTCGGTCGTCTGCATGCCGTCCTTGCCACCGGCATACGACAGGGCGAGGAGGTACGAGTCCTCATCGTACGTCGGCGTGCGATCCGTCACGGAGGTCAGCACCTCACTCCCCTCGCCCGCCTTTCCGACAGGCGGCGGCGGCGGCACAGGCAGCGCCTCGGACGGGACATAGGGCGGGTTGAAGAGGAGGACGTCGACCGACGCGTCGCGCAAGGGCGCGGTCAAGTCGCCCATGGAGGTGCCGAGCCAGGCAGGGGCGGCGGTGACGGGGTTATCGGCGACGGCGCGCAGGACCGTCGCGTTGGTGGCGCGGCACGCAAAGGCGTTAAGGTCGATGGCCGATGTGAGGATGGCGTGGGTTCCGAAGATGTGCTGTGCTTGGGCGGCTACGAAGCCGATGACGACGCCTGAGCCTGGGCCGACTTCGAGCACGTGAGGCGGTGACCCGGCGAAGCGACGCTGGAGGAATGATGTCTCGGTGGCGCTGGAAAGAGTGTCGAGAAAGAGGTACGAATCTTCCGAGGGCTCGTACACACGGCTGTAGGGAACATGGGACGTATCTGGTGTCGGAAGCATTTTGGCCGTTTACTTATGTTTGCTTATTCTAATTCTGCGCTTTTGCGCGCTATTTGGATTGTGAACGACTCGGATGAGGAAGTTTCGCGTGTATGAGGTGCTGATTCGTTGTCTATGAAGTCGTGAGAGGTCAAGTCGTGAGCTTGAGATTTTCAGGTGAGGAGATGTGGGACCTTTGGTGTTGAGCTGTCGTAAACGACCACCAACGGCTTGCATGACACAGCACCCCTTGTCAACCTGTACCATGTTAAGCCAGACAATTCGCAAGTGAGACTCTAAGGGACAGAAACTTGAAAGCTCTTCATTCATATCATCTATTCATCCATGGTCGCCCTCACTCGCTCCAAACATGCCACGGCGCAACTAGCACCTAGGGAGTCACGCGAGCGCCGATGCCATTTTCAGGCCATTCTGTAGAGTGAATAGAGCCACAAGACTATGATATGTAGGCCTTCAACCAAGCATCAGAATCATGTGGTTCTTGGCGTTCTGGGAAGTTCGGCGGTCTGCGGAAAGAAGGCATCGCCTGCGCCTACATCACGGCACAAGGCAACTCCCATCCTGTGTCCTGCCGATTCGGGCCCGACCCCAGCTTGACCCCCCTCCGCACACTTGCGATCATGCGCACCTGGTTCCGATCATATAAGCCTTGCCAGCCGTGTTCCGGACACAGTCGGTACACGCTCGACTGCCAGGTCGGTGTCCGGCGCGCCAAACCGCTGCCGATCTGTCCACACGTGCTGAAGCCCATGCCCGGCGCACAGGGGATGGCGATCTCGCCCCAACGGCACTTGCAGTGCGTGTTCTGATGGAGGCTGACCTCGCACATGGGATATTCAGATATGTTAGGCGGGATGTCAATGGTCGGGTCGTCGGTCGTAGGAGCCAGCTTGGTCAAATTCTGTTCGTAGGTAAAACTCGGTTCGATGGGAGTTTCTCTTGTTAGTCTGTCCAGGAGGATATGTTTCTTGATTTCTGGGTGGCCTGTTCGAGCCTGATTTTATATGCGTTGTGTGAAGAACAAGTTGGATCCCCGCCAGTGTGAAGACAAAACAGCTCCTGCCTGCCAACCAGTGAGAGCAGCAATAATTAGACACGTCCGTGTGTTGCCCAGATGCAATTCCGGCAAGCACCAATTCGCCAATGCGTCGTTGCTTCCTATTCCTGAAAACTCAAAGATTCACTGGCCAACACAACATCACAGCATCTCAGCGTCTCCTCAGAAGCCCACCTAATCAAGATCCTCATCGCCGTCCCCCGAGTCCGCATCCTGCAAAGTGCTGGCCTCGCTCATGCCTAGATTGGACTCGGAATTGTCGCTTTTGGTTTCCGCACAGTTGCGCCAGCCTTGCTCTCTATCCTCGCCGTTGCAGCCTCAACCGACTCGAGCCGGCTGTTGACGTCGTGCATGTCCTCGCTCCCCGTGAACGACCCGCGCAACCTCGGCGTCACTCCCGGGAACATTGAGTCCCGCCTGTTGAGACCTTTCTGGGGGATGGAGTCGCTTGTCTGCTGCCGCGTGAACTGGCGACGGATGAGGTGGTGCGTCAGCTCGTCATCCACGGCAATGTCGTCCTCGACAGACTCAGGTGGCGGCAGGTCAAACACGGCGCGAATGTCACGGTGCGCCGTGATGCGCCAGTTGACCCAGAACCACTGTTTGAGCCTCGGAATCAGGTGATTTGCCGCTTCCTTCTTCGACGTCTCTGCCGGCCACAGGACACGCCGCTCTGCAATGGCGATGATGAGTAGAAGCGGCAAGTTGACGGTTCGCACGCTGGCCACGTGGATCTTGTGGAACCAGCGAGGGCTGACGACGAATTTGAGAGGCAGCAATAGGAAGACGGCCAGGATGTTGAACGGCGGCTGGTATGAGAAGACGGCGTCGCTCTTGACGCCTTCAAGTGTCAGCACTGCGCGACGGAACTGAATCTCCGCTGTAGCGTTGGCCACAATCTTGCTGAACGTGTTCGAAAGCATGGACACCAAAATGGTCAGGAAGAGTGTGTTTCCGAGGAAGGCAAAAGCGACCATCAAGACAGGTCCGAGCAGCCAATGAAAGTGCACCGACTTTTCTATGCCTGAACCGTCGAGACCAAACCAGATCCAGAGCATCCACTTGCTGATATCGCTGCTTCAAGTCAGGGCAAACTCAAATAGAGGAAAGAGACACTGCCAAAGTGAAAACTCACACAGGAGGATGCTTGCCCTCCCCAAGCCAGAGCAGCGACAGCAAGAAGCCACCAAAGCACCAGGCGGACAGCAATGTCAGCAGGAAGAAGTCAGCCATCATGGAGCGAAGCGACAAGACGACAATATTGTCCGAGAGCAGGTTGAAAGCCAGTCGCGGTACAAGGACCGGCGCCGCCATGGCGAGGACGTCGAGGGCCTGCTGCTTGGGCACCAGGTCATCCACCCATGCACCATCAATGCGTAGAAAAGCGTACACGGCGTAGATACCGATAAACGTAACATCTAGAAAGGACCACAGATTCTGCGTGTACACGTGCCTGCCACATCGTTAGGGTCACGTCTCTTCAAAAGAACAAAGCGAGAAGCAACACACCATCCATGCTCGAGAATAGTCGCGAATTGATCAAGAGACCAACCAAACGCATAAATAGCAAAGCAGGCCTCCAGATACCCAAAGTGTTCCGGGCTGCGTTCTGCCATGACGAGGAGGTATAATGAGAGGAGAATCAAGAAGGAGAGTACGTCAAGGATGTTCCTGGTCCTCGGTACCATGAGGCGATACTGATTCAGCATGGGGCCTTCACGAGGGTTGTAGAGCGAGATTGGCTTGTGTTTATAGTGGTCAGGGATGATGTCGATGTAGCTTGATGGCGTGTACATGATTCTCCCTTCATAAATGGCATCGACACTGCAAACAATCAGCATCGGCATTGCCTAGATAGGGCCAGCCGGACCTCAGTCCATAGCCCCAGATCAACACCTACACTTTTTGACAAGGCGTCGAGCTCAGGAAGTACTTGCTTTCGGTGAGGATGGCAATCTCCAAGGAAGGCAGTGTCCGGTTGTAGGTCGTGTCGGAAGCTGCCTGGGCCTCTTCACGTACCTCCTCCGGGGCGTTCTGAAAGGGCTCAAACCCGGCCACCAGAATGTTGGACAGCAGGAGCAAGCCGTCGGCGCCCTCATTGTCCTCACTAAAACGCCTCAAAATCCTCGTCGCCACGAGCTCGGCGAGCGTCGCCCGGCTGAAATTGACATTGTGGCGATTGTTCAAGTGAGACTGCTCATACAAGAACTGGGCCCGATTGACCAGCAAACAGTAGACGATGGAAATGTCGTCTAGTTCGTACAACTTGTCCACCAGGGGCCGAACGACGGCGATGTTGATCCTGACATCACGCAGCTGCTCGAGACTGAGATAGTCCTCGACGATGGATATGATATCCCTGCGTATGCGATGGATGTTCGTGTAGACGGGCAGGTGGCTGTGCAGGCTGTTGGCGGTGCAACTGTAGAGCAGATCCGTGTCTGTTGTCCGATGGCGCCCGAGGAGAGGTCTCCGTTCGGCCTGGGCCGGTAGCTGGATGCGCGTCCCGTTCCGGGTACGCCCGCTCATTGCTTGCCGGGCCGTGGAAGTAGGTATGCAGCGTAGCCGATGACGTGCTGTGCAGCAGCAGTATGGGGGCAAGTTCTAGGTGTGCCGACGCGGGTGAGATGAAGCTAAGGTGAGGCCGTGGGGCCAGATCCAGGCTGAAGGTGCCAAGATGGTTACTACTGAGGCTAGAGAAGCAGGGAAAACAAGTGGTCGTTATTCAAAAAAGGATATCATGAGAAGGGAAGAAATGTATGAAGAGAAGAGACCCATTTGTTCGCGAATCTCGCCTTGTTGTGAATTCATGATTGACAAGGTGAGATTCCAGGTTTTGGGTTTCGCTGCGGTGCGTGCCATCCCTGAATCGCCCGCTAGTCTTTGTGTGGGGTTCAGGAGGATATGCACCTATAAGGACTCTTGCTGAGCTTCCACAACTGGGCAGGACCAACCACATGTTTGGGCTTCATCATCACCGTCATGCTCACAAGAATCTGCATCGTGTTACTCGTAATTTGCGGGTCATTTGGTCCTCGATTGACTAGGCTAATTATTCTTTTTTTCAGAGTTCAGTCCCTGGGTCATCATCATGAATAGGCGTCTCATCCTTCACACACCGTAGGGGGGGGGGGAACCTCTCCTGCAGGGTTCGCCCCGATTATACCCGCTGTCCGGTCCACCATGATTTACAGGTTGACAGACTTGCGGAAGTTCTCGCCGGCGTAGATGGCCTGGTCGCCGAGCTCCTCCTCGATGCGGAGGATCTGGTTGAGCTTGGCCAAACGCTCGGAACGGGCGGGCGCACCAGTCTTGATCTGGCCAGCACGCAGACCGACGGCAATGTCGGCAATGGTGACATCCTCAGTCTCACCAGAGCGGTGGGACACCATGACACCCCAGCCATCGGCGAAGGAGTCCTTGGCGGCCTGGATCGACTCGGTCAGAGTACCGATCTGGTTGACCTTGAGCAGCAGGGCGTTGGCGGCCTTGAGCTCAATGGCCTTCTTGATGCGGATGGGGTTGGTCACAGTCAGGTCATCAGCGACGAGCTGAATGTCCTGGGCCTTGTAGAAGTAGCTCCAGGCCTCCCAGTCGTCCTCGGCGAAGGGGTCCTCAATGGATACGATGGGGTACTTCTTGCAGAGCTCGGAGTACAGGTTGGCGAGCTCCTCGTACGTGAGCCACTTGGACTGGTCGCTGTCAGGGTTCTTGAAGTCGAGGTCGTACTTCTTGGCGTCCTCCTTGTAAAACTCGCTGGAGGCAACGTCCATGGCAATGTTCATCTTGCCAGTGTAGCCGGCCTTCTCGATGGCGTCGGTGATGAGCTCGAGGGCCTCGTCGGCGGGTCTGGATATCAGGGGCGACACCGCCCTCGTCACCGACGTTGCCCGGCAGACTGGCCGTACTTCTTCTGGCCAGGCTCTTCAGGATCTGGTAGACCTCAGCACCCTGGCGGAGAGCCTCGGAGAAAGAGGGAGCGGCGCTTGTGAGAGTCAACAAATATGGTCTGCAGACGGCATTCGCGGGATCGGGAGAGCTTACCTGGGCACGATCATGAACTCCTGGAAGGCCAGACGACCGCCGGCATGGGAGCCGCCGTTGAGGACGTTCATGAAGGGAACGGGGAGGACGTAGGGCTTCTTGGTGCCGGCGAGGTCCGAGATGTGAGCAAAAAGGGGCACACCCTTCTCGGCGGTGGCAGCCTTGGCGATGGCCAGCGAGACACCGAGAATGGCATTGGCACCGAGCTTGTTCTTGTTGGGGGTGCCATCGAGCTTGATGAGGAACTCGTCGATCTTGGTCTGATCCTTGACGTCGATGTTCTCCTTGATGAGGGCAGGGCCAATGACAGTGTTGACGTTCTCAACGGCCTTGAGGACACCCTTGCCAGCCCACTTGGCCTTGTCACCATCACGGAGCTCGCAGGCCTCGTGCTGGCCGGTGGAGGCACCAGAGGGGACAATGGCGCGGTGAAGGCCAGTCTCGGTGAGAACGTCGACCTCAACCGTGGGGTTGCCACGGGAGTCGTAGACGTAGCGAGCGTGAATCTTCTTGATGGCCATGTTGGGCGATTTTGGAGAAAATGGTTCTGATGCGAAAGAAGGGAGGGGTCAGCAACAGAACACGAACCGAGGAGGGGCAAGCCAGCCAAGTTAAGTATCAGCAAGAGAGAAAGGGACTTGTAAGCAAATTAACAAACAGATCTGATCCAATGACAGCAGGAAAACACCAAGCCTTTTCAGAAATCGCTCAGCGAAGCTCGGACGGTGAGAATTGCCGCAAGCACCAGAAGGCCTCGACGGGCCGTTTCTGAAGCTATGGTGGGGGGAGGGGCGGGATTGAAACTAGGATCTTGGGACAACAGGGTAGGACTCCTCCGTGTGTCAAATGTGTAATGACATGGACGGTGATGACGTGGGGGGAAAAGGGGGGCTGAACTGACCGAGATTGGTAGATTTGGTGATGATTTACTGGAATCGTTGAGTACGGTGTCAAAACAAGAGGAAGAAGTAGAAGTAGGTGGGACAAGGTGTTTTGCAAGAGAGCTGAATTTCTATGGGGTGGGCTTACCTGTAGATAGCTAGGGAGGCGCCAATCTAAGGCAAGGTCGGTCGGTAGGTACCCAATGTCAGGTACCTCTCTACCGCCTTACCTTCATGCTCCTTCCCTGACGTGGAGCGTGGCCTTGGTTTCTGTGGCTTTCCATCACGCTCGCTCACATCCCCTTCGCCTCATGGAGGGGTAGGTAGGTTTCTGCCCACAGACGAGCACTGTATCAGTTCAAGGGAGCACGGGCCCGTAAGGAGGGGCAGTGATGCATTCGCCTCTGCCCCTCCGACCCCTCCTGTGTTGAGCATCAGAGCCGTTATCGGAGAACCCTGTCGTTCCGTGTCTGTTTGCAGTCATCCAGGGTTCCTGCTTAACATGCATGGCCTGACCTAGCAACCCACCAAACGCAGCGACGCACCAACGCACCAACGTACCGTAGGCGCCCCTCAACGAGACCCTAGCCGCCTAGCTCATCAGCATTCCTTGAGCTCCCCACCACTAGCGCTCATGATTCGATGGAGCGCCTTGCTGGCTTGCTGGGTATCAAATTCTGCGGCTTTTCCAACTGGGGGCCATGGACCCTTCTCAGAGCCTCCCTTGGCAGGTTCGGGTTTCTCGCACGCCGTACGCCGTACGCCGTGATGCCACAAGCTCTCACATCTGTGGCAAATCACCTCGGGCGTGGGTATATACATGTACAGGTCTACCTCCGCTGTTGCCGATCCCTGCCGCACCCAAAAGCAGGAAGACCCTTAATGGGACCTGTTTCCCTGATGTCTGGTGGTTCAGAGAAAAAAAAATGGTATGATACAGAGAGAGGTTTGGCTATTAATAACATCGCGGACTGGTAAGGTTGATTCTCGTCTCCCAAGCCCCCACCCTTTTTACTGTGAATCCAACCACTGTCGCACATCGTCCGTGTCCCGAGCCTTCCACGACATCTTCGCCTTGATCGAGTCCGTCGCCTGCGCCAGAGACCGGTCGAAGCCGGCTGTGCCCTTGTTTTCGAAGAACGCGGTCACCTGGTCGAGCTGCGCCTGCGTGCTCAGACCGCCGACGCAGTAGGCCACCACGTTGCCAATCATTGGCGATGATGCCGGGAACTTGGCCGAGATGGCGTCCCAGTTCTTCTGCATCCACTCAAAGAGCCCCTCAATACCCTCGCGACTGGCTCTCAGGCCGCCGATGGGCAGATACACGTCCTGGTCTCGGATCTTGCCACTAAGCAAGAGATCAAGCGTCTGCTGCACCATCTTGCGCGACTGGCCGAGTGTGCGCAACGCAGAGTTACGTTCATCGCTGCTCTTGGCCTTGTGCATGTAGAAGTCGAGAACATCATTATACTTAGGGAAAGGCAATTTGTTAGCACAGAAACTCGTAAATAGCTGCATTGGTGTCCAAAGACTTACCTCCTTCTCGCCACCGTATTTCAGGTTGAGGGAGAAAACGCTACCGCGGATGTTGGGGTGGACAGCCGATCGATCTCCCTCGTCCATAAACTTCTTGAACATGTTCTGTGCAGCCGCAATGACTTGCTTGTTGCCGCTCATGCCCGCGGCGCCGAAAACCAGCGCCTTGAATTG